CGGTTGCGCGCCTCGCGTTGAAGTGCGGGGCACGCGCTGTGGTTGGCTGGGTGCGCGCCCGCGCAGTTCGCGCAAGTCGCGGGCTGTGCGCGCGGGCGGGGGCAGTCGGCGGCTGCGTGCGGGTCACCGCATCGCACGCAGGCAAGCGGGCGATGGCATCCAAGGCTGGAGTGGCGGAACCCCTGGCAGCGGTGGCACTGCGCGGGGGTCTTCCTGCCTCTCCATGCTTCGATCTGTATCCCGGTCATGCTCAGGAGGTCACTCACTGAGTAGATGGCCGGGATGATGTCTGGAGTTCGTCTGAGCGCAGCGAAGTACAAAGAGCCGGGGCGGCCTGCTCGCGCCCGGATCTGTCTTGAGTATTCCACCTCGAATCCCTTTTCTGCAAGGGCCCTGGTGATGTCATCTGGTTGTGTGTCCACAGGCAGCCCACGGATGGCCACCTTTAGGCTGCGGTCTTCCGGACGAGCGTGGGCGTACCAGCTCAGTCCGGCCTGCTCAGAGAGGTAGGCCTGGACGAGCCGGCCCTCGTCGTCGTCTTGAGGTGTGAAGCGCACACCCGTTCCAAACGGGCGCACGCTGGGCGGTCGGCCGAGCTTCGTATGGATGGCGCGCAGATGCGTCGGCCAGTCCTGTAGCTGCTCAACCACGATCGGCGGGTGTTTACGGACCCGTGGGAGCGTGGGAGCGCTGCAGGAGGCCGGCTGCGCGGTCGGCACGGCGGCGGGAGAGGCGGCGGTCGGTTTTTCGATTTTCGGTGAATCGGAGGGTAGGTGTGAAACTTTTGCCTTCTGGGCGTAGCTTACCGACTGTTTCTGTGTCGGTAAAGCAGTTTCTTGGGCAGCGGGGGCGGGCACGGCGTCTTGTTGTTGTTCGGGCTTCGGCTTGGCTTTCGGAATGGGCAGTGGCGTCGTCATCGTGACGGGAGCGTCACCGCAGCTGCGGGAGCGACAGAGGCGCGGGTCGCATGAGCGCCTTCTGCGCGGTTGTCTCTCTTCTGGTTTAGGCGTCTTGCCGTTGATGGGCTTCAGGTCTATGTTTCGGGGCGGCGGAAAAGTGAGCGGCTTCTTGATGACCTTCTTGTTGTCTTGGATGACAAGGTGGTCACCGAGGCGGTAATTGTAGGTGGAGCTCTCGTCCATCTCGAGGAGACGGACGTAGCACCAGATCCAGTCTTCCAATCTCTCAGACAACAGCCCAGAGTCCAGGAGTCGGGCCGCCATCGCTGCGTCCAATTCATATTGGACGCGGGGCGACTTTAGCCCGAACACCGCGGTACCGAAGTGTGTGATGTTATACACGTCGTCTGAGTCGAGCGGATGGCCGGAGTCTTCCATGATGCGTGGATGGGGGCTACGCCTGCGCGATCCTGGCCGAGCAGCGCCTCACGGCGCGCTCAGGCCTGCGGCTTGGAGATAGGCAGTCGTCGCTGGCACGGTGGCGCCAGGCAGTCTCGCAGAGCATAAACGTCAAGTTTATGTCTGGAGATCTTGTAAGTTACGTGTGGATCCGTGCGACGGCGTAGTACAGTCCTCGTTCGTCCACTGCTGGACATGGGTCTCCCCTAATGCACGCCACTGCTCCCGATTTTGTGCTACTCTCATCCAGTCCACTCCAGCTAGCCTACGAATATCATCATCATTAAATATAATTATATAGATAAAATTGGAATATTAGTTTGAATTACGAAATCACTTTTAAAACCGTAAATGTAAACAAAAACTGTTTCGGTTTCTTGTCATTATAAAACATTGGTAAATTGATGGGGTAATCCTTAATCTATATGCAAAACTCCAAATATTTTTTTAAAAAAATTTGTAACAAGAAGGTGGCAAAATCTATCAATTCAATTATATTTATTCAGAAAATAACAAGTTTGTCTCCAAGGATACGTACATTTACGCAAAAGTCTATATTACATTTACGCAAAAAAGCTTATGGTGGGTCAGTAATCGCACTGGCTGAGAGTACATATAACTGACAAAAAAATCCAAACAAGCTTCATGAGAATAAAGAATACTATTTATAGAATAGAATTAGGAATTATTAATTAATTAATTAAACAGAATTATAGGTATTAAGTTAAGTAGTAAATTGCAACGACCAACAGTGCTATTCTGTAAAATTTTCACGCACGGATCCGATGTGGATCCGCGCGAAACTCTATGGGAAACGCACGGATCCGTTTCGATTCCGCGCGTGAAACTTTTACAGAATAGCACTGCTGAGGCATCATACCTCAGTGATAATACTTTGCTGTTTTTATTTATTTTTATATATGTTTATGGGAATATAAGGGGAGATAAATAAAAGGCAACCAGATAGAGAAGCTAAGAAAAATATTTGGTGGAGCACAAAAGTAAATTGGGTGGTCGATTGATGTTGTTACGTGACCCGCCTCGATGCACACTCAGCACCAAATCAATTGATCCAATACCGCAGAACACGAGGTAGGGAATTTTGAACTTCATCTACTATTAACATAAAGTTTGAAATTGATTTGGATTTTTTTACTAACCATGTCTTTATGTGCTGTCCATTGTACGTATAATGAACACATTCATTTTCGTACGGTTTTTTTTACCGCCAGTGAACTTGGCGTCTGCAGCTGATTGTAAGAAATTTATATATACATATAACCTACCAAACGCAAATAAATGTATTTTGTGTGTACAGTTGCTTGTTAAAAATAAACATATTATATAATGAATCAGTTAACTTTAGCAAAATATAATATTTAAAACATGGTTAATTTTTGTTGCCAGGTTTTCTTAGCCTAATCATTAAATACTAGTAAATCATGCAGGTGTTTTTAGTTAACCCCTGTATTCGTTCCTTTTTTATGGTTACGTTCTCCCTTTTCAGGGAAGGCAAGGGGAACAATGCCCATACAGCCTAGTCTTAAGTTAAATTATTCTGTTTTTCTTTTTACATTAGAATGTAGGTGTGACGCATTGTAATGTTTCTTGAAGAGTAATGTATCGAGCTGGCTTTTTCGATAAGCTTCTGTGAGGTAGTCAATACTACAATAAAATTCTCACGTCCACTTGACCGGAATAGCGTATATTTTGACGATTCTACTAATTCTTCAGTTACGCAGACAGTTGTAACACAAAATCACACCAATTTTATTTCACAATTTCCACTATGAACGAATTTAAGAATAATTAAAATAAGACGCCAACCACACTCGATGAAATCCCGCCAAAAACTCCTCCTTTTCTTCTTCTTTTTCTTTTTTTATGGCATGCACGGTCTCCTCCTTTTTATTAGTCTTGTTTCCTTCCAGTCTCTATTTATAACATTCTCCCTTTTCAGGGAAGGCAAAGGGAACAATGCCAATACAGCCTGATTATCTTCTTACTGATTTGCAGTACAAGTAAGCTTTGCGCGTACGTGAAGTTTGATGCCCAGACAAAATGTCATTATCAAATACAGACTGGTACTAATTCTTAGTTCTCGTTACTTACGTTGTTGTGGCGCTGCTATTGCTCGAATTTCCATACAAAATTTGACATTGACATTTCGCACTCCCAAACTATTCGAATTCGAAATTGGTTCGTGCTAGGGGTATAGTCCTATGAAAATAATTTTCCTGCATCTTCTTTCAAATGTTTAATACTTATAAAGGTATTGAGAAGAGATGGCACTGCCTTTGCAGCCCAAGAAATACAAGAAGAAATTTGACACGGCCATGAAGAAACAAGAACATTATTGGTCAGTGCATCCAACCGGATAGTGAAGGGCCCGCGTTCGATTCCGCCTGATTTCTGACCGCGTGGAATTTTTTCTAATAAAATTTTCCTTAGATTTAAACATTTTGCAGTCGCATAAAAAGTTTTTAATGTAGCGGCTAGATATTCAAAACTATGTTTAAAAAGATTTAAAAGATTTTAGTAATAACCAATAACCCATTTAAGAACAACCGATATAGCTCAACGGATCGCTAAGCTGAAGTGGCAATGGGCGGGGCAAATACTCGTAGTACGGCGAACCGATGAACGTTGGGGTCCTAGGGTGCTTAAATGGAGACTTCACACCGGGATCACTATCGCTTACTATTTCATATTGTTATTTCTGGCGGCCGAAGGTTTTCAAATACCTCACAGTCATTTTCTTTAATATTGTTATTGTAAATGCAAAAGAAAAAAAAAAGCACGAGGTATTTGAAAACTTTAGGCGATCAGATATAACAAAATATCGTAAGTGAAAGCGATATTATAGCAATCTCGTTACGCGATTGGCCTCCAAGTGGACTGACGAGATCAAGCGAGAGGCACCGAGCGAGGAAACCCACTGGATGCGGAAAGTGCAGGATCGTTGTTTAAGGAAATGCCCTTGAGGCCTGAAAAGGCATATGTCCAGCAGTGGACGTCTATCGGCTGATGATGATGAGAAGATGTTTAAATCTAAAGAACTACATCCGCTCGGATAGCGGAGGATGCGGATTCGAGTCCCGTTTGCTGCCTGGACTGAATTTTTCTGGTAATTTTTTTTATTAAATATTGTCGACACCGAATACCAAAAAATAAAAAAGGCCAAATCCGGAGACGACTCACAATCGATACTCAGAAAATAAACTAGATAGATACGTACCCAGTAGGATAATAAAACATCACTTTTTTAAACTTTTGCCTCTACAGTTTATTTCTGTGTCTGCCTATATCGATTCGAACCTCTTTTTGATACAATGTAAGAATTGAATCAAATTATTTGGTTACTGAAAGTCCAAATTATTTATGAGATAAAATAATTTACCAAACTAGGTACGGTACATAAGCATATTAAGTAGGTAACCATTTTATAACTCACTTCCCGAGTTTTTTAAATAATTTGCTCAAAGAAACGAAAATAAAATATTTTTTGTTATAAAGATGCAGAATTAAAAAGTAATTAGCTTAGAAGGAAATAAATGTAGTCGTTTTCGTGTTTAGTAAACGTAATTTATTTCAAGGTTACACCAAACGCCGGCCGCTCGCCGCCGTAAAATTTTCCCTCAATAGATTTATAACATTTACTCCACAAACAGGAAATATGCAAATAGCCCTTGTATTACGATATAATCAGGGTGAGGGGGCTGCTTTGTTACCTATAAGTTCATAGTCTGTTAGCGGACCGAAGGACTATAATTCATTGTCATAAAAATCGACGCACGGTTCACGCATGTGCGCCGGGCAACTGAGTGAAGTTCGTGTGCGAGTGCTAGGGATTGCGAGAACGAACATAACCGGAGACGTCCGACCAGTGCCGAGTCGGTCGCTCAGTGGGATCCACGCTCGCGCGAACTACTCATTTATTGACCATTTCCTGCGACATTCCCACAAAAAACACGCTGCCTGCCGTTCATACTGCCCCAAAACATTAACAATAAGTGACAATACAGTGACAAACATTATATTTTATGTAATAACGTTAGTTGAGAAGTATACTACGAAGAGTTGTGTAATGGAAGTAATACAGAACACGACGTCGCTAGCACCTGTTAATAGATTACGTTAATTATCTTAATAAATATAAACATCGAGTGGTCGTCCTATTTGTTATTTACAATTCCAAGTGTTAAAGAATAACATATTAAAGTGACGAGGCTCCGAAGAAGAGGAGTAAGTAACAGTTGTGACAAAATGCCTACATCAATACAAGAGAATATTGCTTTGTTGAATATGATGTCTTCGGACAATTTGGAGGATGATTTGAAGAGTGTCCAGCTACATTTTCCCTCGGACAGACGATTGCAAAGCGACGGCGCATGCGTGGAGGAGAGGGTGAGGACTTCCCGGGGGGATATCCTCGTGGCCGTCCGTGGGGACCGCAGCAAACGTGCCATCATCACCTACCATGACCTTGGCCTTAACTATGCCGCTAACTTTCAAGCATTCTTCAACTTCGTCGATATGAGGGCTATTTTAGATAAATTTTGCATTTACCACATCAATGCACCGGGACAAGAGGAAGGCGCCCACTCGCTGCCAGAGGACTTTACCTATCCAAGCATGGATAGTTTGGCTTCTCAAATTGATTTCGTACTTGGTCATTTCGGCATTCGATCTTTCATAGGCTTTGGAGTGGGCGCAGGAGCTAATATACTGGCACGTTACGCCCTTACAAACCCTCAGAAAGTAGACGCTTTAGTTCTAATCAATTGTACATCGACGCAGGCTGGTTGGACGGAGTGGCTGTACCAAAAGATTAACACCAGACAGCTTCGTTCGAGCGGCATGACACAGGGAGCACTCGACTATCTAATGTGGCATCACTTCGGCCGCAGCACTGAAGACAGGAACCACGATCTTGCACAAGTCTACAAGGAATGCTTCTCCCACGTGAACCCTATTAATTTGTCGATGTTCATCGATTCGTATTTGCGGCGCAACGACTTATCTATTGCCCGCGAGAGTAACACTATAAAAGTACCTATTTTGAATGTGACTGGAGCTCTCTCGCCGCATGTTGACGATACTGTAACGTTTAATGGACGATTAGATCCCGCGAAAACATCCTGGCTGAGTATTTCCGACTGCGGCATGGTGTTAGAGGAGCAACCGAGCAAAATAGCGGAGGCCTTTAAGCTATTCCTTCAAGGGGAGGGATACTTCAGGTAGTTATGTTGCAGGAGACGAAGATAAGCGCAGCGCTGCTATTCGTAGTACACATGATGCTTACACGCGAGCTTTAAGACACTGTTGTAGTCACATGATGGATATAGACACAAAAATGTTGTTCCTTGTTTTAGATATTTATCTGAATAAATTTTATTTTATGGCTTAACTCGAGTTTCCTTGTTCCTTTCATAAATAAAAATACTGGTTCGAAATATAGGTTTATAACTTGTCTAACATTATGATGAAAATAATTCAATCAAAAACCAGGCAAGTGCCACTTGCAGCCCATAAGGCCTGAGGCCTAAGGTTTGAATCCTGATAGAAGCAATTGACGGTTACTAATAATCCTTATTTTGTATTAGACTCTCTTTTACCTAACAATCTTCAGTTTAGTCCATATATTAAGTACTTAAAAAGTTTAAATATATTTTTGTAGTAAGTACTAAATAATATTCTGTAATAGCAAATGGACATATAGTAAATCATTTGAATAAATAAAGTCGATTTATTTTTATACTAATAATTCAAGTTAATATCCAGATTTTTAATGCCCGATATAAAATTATACTCATAATAGAATGCAAACAATTATACATATACATTTGCTTACTTTGATTTGTTTACAAAATAAAAGAAATCAAATGTCTTTCAGCTTAGGTCTATACATCAAATGTGTCTCACGCTAAATACGGCAAGTGAAGCAGCTCACCTAATTTCAATATTAAATTCAAACCAAATATAAAGCTGCAATAATCCAAATTAGATTTCAGCGTGAAAATTATGAAACTCTCGATTACAGTAAATTTAAGAGAGGCCTCAAAATTTTGCTAATTTTCTACCAATTCCACACTGGGTATTGGAATAACAATTTATTTGAAATCCAATACCCTTCTGTTCAATATTTTGAACTGTGTGGAGGAAAGCAATTTGCTATTAATTGAATATTTACAATTTGGTAAATTAAAATTACAGTACTTCGCTAAACTCTTGACAGTTTCAAGGCAAATTGTAATTCTTTGCGTATTTAATTTGAGCATGCAAATTTTGTGTTACAAACATGGGTTAAATAAAATTACAGTTTGTTAATGTAGGTACTTTTTTCTTTAAAAATATTTAATATTATAACTTTACTGTATGAAATATATGTCGTACTTTGAATATTGTTGTTTGGATTGGAAGCAACCTGAAGTTCTTTTCATTAAACCACGTTAAAAAATGAAATATTTTTTATCACAGTTATATTTTTCAGCATTTAACTGTTAGTTGTTAAATCTAAAGATTTAACTAGAAAAAATCCACGCGGACCATGCGGTAGATTTTATTTTAATCACATCTATCCGAAAAGAGCTAGTCTGTTCTCTGTTTACAGGGACCAAAATAGAACTTTATAGGTAAGTACATAAATATGTAAATACGGTGTTTTAATTCAATGCACCATGTTTTGGTCAAACGTAATATTATCCAGATAAACTTTCGTTAGAGCATTCGCCTGGATAGCGAAGGGTGTGGGTTCGAGTCCCATCTGCTGCCTGGTCCGTGTGGATTTTTTTCTAGTAACATTTTTTTTTAATTAAACATCTAGCAGTCAAATGCTTAAAAATAAAAACATAACTATAGTAATATTTTCTTTAGATTTGAACAACTAGTAGTTAAATACTTAAAAAAAAATAGTTATGATTTTTTTATTATCCATAAAAAGATTTGTAAATTCATTTTAGTTTTACATTTGGATCCGATTCATGTTTTATTGCAGTCAGTTCTGATCGTGTTTTATTTTCTTAACAAACGTACATGGCTGCAACCAGTGAAATGGGCTTGGGGGTGGCTCCTCTCTACCCCGCAAGGGGAGGAGAACACCCTAACTGACCGCTGGATGGGGTGATCGCATTATGAAATACTACATTGGAAATGTAAAAAAATAAAACACCCGAGCCGGACAGTACCTACGTACCTACGTAAGTATATCGTGCTTCTACTAAATAGGTACTTTTCATTTTAACTTTACACAAATTCAGTCTGATACTTGGATTGAACAGTATTTTTAGTCAGGACAAGGTTTGTTATACTAATCTTTACTAATATTATGAAGAGGAAAGATTTGATTGTTTGTTTGTTTGTATTGAATAGGAAAATTACTGGACCGATTTTTAAAATTCTATCATGTTTAGAATCCTAAATTATCCCTGATGAACATAGGCTAAAGAATATTTTCAAAAAAGTCAGGGTTCCGTGTGAAAACTTCGATTTCGTAACCCAGGGCGTGTAAAAATATAAAAAAATATCCTTATATCGCTTACGAGTACCTTATATCGTACGCTCCGAAAGTCATTGACAGTAGTGCAAAATGATGTAGGTACTAAAGTTTTATAGAAAACATCAATATCTAGTTAGTTAAATAAATTTTAATGGAAGGTTTATAACTATGTAAAGAAATTCATTGTGTATAATACTAGCCTGAGAACAAAAACAACAGTCTACCTACACTACAGCTCTACACTGACGAGAAGCATGGGCGGGCGACTATGAATGATAAAATTAATAATAAAGACATGGAACAATCGTATTACTTTTTTTTACAGCAGGGCATTTTTTTTGTATAATTAATAGGATGGTGGTGTCCTGCCCAATGGCAAGCGGCACCATAGCCTATAGAGGCTTGCTATTTTAAAAATGTCACTCGCGCCGTTGCCTAACCTGACCCAATCCCCTACCCCGTGGTGCCCTGAGACCTGACTCACCGACAGAAACACAACACCACCAAAAGGTAGTCTTATTATACTGTAGTCTTATATAAGGTGGAGGTTGCTTTCCCAGACTGCCGATGGAATATTAATAAGAGGAAAGAGTTTATTGTTTGTTTGTTTGTATTGAATAGGCTCCGAAAATACCTATAGACATATTTGAAAAATTCTTTCACATTTAGAATCCTACATTATCTCGAAAGAACATGGGCTATAGAGTATTTAGAAAAAATTTAGGGTTCCGTATGAAAACTTAGATAATGTAACCCAACGTGTAAAAAATTTTCACGGAAAGTTTATAATATGAAGAAAGTCATAATACAAGCCTGAGAACAAAAACTATAGACTACACTACAGCTCTACGCCGAAGCAAAGCGAGGGCGGTTCACTAGTTTAAAACAAAATTAAAAATATTCACTGTCACACGCTACACATATAAATTGGACCACGGGAAAGAACCGTAGGTTTTTTTAAACTTTCTGTCGTGAAATAAATCTTTGAAAGCGATGAAGCATGGAAATTCTAGGCATAGATAGCCACATTTTTCTAGGTGATTTTGAGCTTTATACTGCTTGAATTTCGATTCAAAATCGATTGGGAAAAATTTGCCATATTGTGGTTACTTGACTGGCGTCTGTCCGTTCTAATGGTCCAAGTCGCGAGTATCAATAATCTTAGATGTTTAAAAATCGTAAATCATTTTTATTAACTTAGACAACAGAAAATAATGTTATATTTTATTTTGTTTCTGGCTTCGAGGTAGAGGCCGACTGAACCTTCGGTTTACTTTCGGTATTGGCTGCCATCCGGCCGAACTGCGCCCTTAGGCCAAAACCGCTCTCATGTTCTCGTACTGTCATTGGGTACTTTCTTGAATTAAGCTGCATGGAGCTCGATGCAAAAAATGGTTAGCGCATTCCGACTGCAGCTTCGGAAGGTTAAGCCGTTAGTTCTGGATACCTGCAGTCGTTGCAGCTACCAATCCGCATAGACCCGCGTGGTGGGTCATAGCCCAATTTCCATATTCCAACTATAGTAAAGACCTTTGCCGCTGGGCCCAGTAGTGATATTATTAATGATATTGCATGCACTGAAGTGTCATTTTGCCACGTTATATGTTTTATAATCAGATAACATTATTTCGAATCAGGTATCTAAGTTTTTTCCCCACTTTAGATGTGATGGTAAAAGATAAGTTAATATTAATAACTTTAATGCGCAGCTTTTTATACGTTACACAAATATAAGAAATCTACATGATTTTTTCAGTCATTATAATTATGTTTCTAGTTAATGTTAAATTGTAAGTTTTGAATGTTATATTTTTATGAGTAGGCACTTTCAAAATCAGATCAAGTTAATTTCAATCGAAGTACTTACTTATTGAGTTAAATCTAGTTTAAAAATTTACGTACCTACTTAAATGAAATTATAAATAAAACATAAAGACTAAATTATATGTAATCATGATAATGATAATATTAATTGTTTACTTTATTTTCGTACGAAAACAACCAAACCTTATTCCAGTTTCGGTCAAAACTGAGATTGAAGCCGAAATTCGGTTTCGGCCGTAAAAACTAGTTCACTACTTCGGGCTATTGTTAGCAGCATGATCCAGGATTCCGGTCCAAGCGTGCTCGGCATCCCGATACTGGAATTTCAAAGGAATTTTGTTACAGCATTTTCTTTCAGATTAAAACATTGTTCCGCGTTGAAATAACAGGTGAGGTTCGTTTGGTGCGGGTTTCTTGGTATTTGATTCATTTCTTTTTTTTTCGCATTTGTTCTAGAAAAAAGCTCCATTTACATAATAGTCCAGTCAATACACAGAAAAAAACAAAATTTGGATTAGGGTTGAGAAAGTTGCTATTGCCCTGTGTGTGGATGCCACCGCTTCTCGGGGATTTCTTTTTTTTTGTAAAAAAATAAGTATGGGAATGAATAGATTGACTAATTTAAGTAACTTTTGTTCCATAAAATTTTTACTGAAAGTCAACTTACAGTACTTTTCGACTTATTCGGGAGTGGAAACGTTAATTTTTAAACAAAGAAACACCTTTACAGACGATTGTTCATAAATAATTCTGAAAACAAATATTTTATGAAAAAATTACTCGAAGTAAAATTGTTGCTTATAAAACAATAAACATTTGTTTAAAATACTACCTTATTTTATAGTAATGGAGTAATAGCTTGTTAAAGGTTGATTCTTCTTCGTAAAACGAAAAACAATGCATTTTTTCGGGGAAAACTCATAGAACTTTTCACTTACAAGGGATGTGTGTCTCATAATTTGTAAAAAAAACGCAAGAATGGTTTTTACCAGTATTGTAATACAGGATGTTTCTTGGTAACTGTGAAAATTGTGATAGGTAGGATAATAGGTATTTTTACCACAACTCCCTTAGTTTTTGAACTAGCAAGTTCAAGAAAAAAACTATTTTGTAGATTAAAGGCTATAACATGATATATGCTTATTTATTTTTAAAAGTTTTGAGCTGAATGAACTTAATTTTTTTGTGAACATATGCAAACTTGAAACGGCCATATCTTACACAATTTTCACCAAACAAAAATAAAAAAAAATGTATTTAAAGGAAAAACGTAAAATCTTTAACTTTTAATTAGCGTATATTTCATAGTTTTTGAAGCAAGGAAATTTTTGCAAACTTACAAAATACTCTCTTCACTTCTACCATATTTTTCTAAACTATCTATCTTTAAACCGCTCAAGCTATAGGTGTATGTACTTCTAATATGAGAAGAACATACATTTATAATCAAAATCGTAAAGTGGTAATCATAATTTCAATTAGGGGTAATTAGGGGGCCATGTTCAAATTTTTTTGTTGCCAAAAAAATAGGTCTTTATCATAATTGACCTAATTTTTATACTAGGAACTCTCATAAAAAAAATAAAGGTTTTTTAAGCACTTTAAAAAGAGTTCCGTGAGTTTTCCCCGAAAAATGAATTGTTTTTTTTTTCAGTTTTGGTATTTGTCGAAGAAGAACCAACCTTTAACAAGCTATTACTCCGTTAGTGTTCAATAAAGTAGTATTTAAAATCTAGCATTTCGTTTGTCTTTGAAAAGCTAGAATTTTTCGCAAAATATGTTTGGTAATACTTATTTACAGAGTTAATCATGAAGAAAACAGTTTTTCTGCTGACCGCTTAAGTCTAAAAACGTTGATTTTCTTGTTGAAAGGAGATTGCTCAAATTGGCCCAAATGTACAAAAAATATTGACATACACGGTAATTCTTAGCGTAATTTATACTTTATTTTACAGTCATTACATTTTAACGGACACCTTTGTATAATATATTCAT